TTGTGGTAGCAGTGGTGATGGGAGGACGGTTGGACTGGATGATCTTGTAGGTCGTTTCCAACCTTGTGATTGTATGATTCTATGATTTTCAGCTAGCCTTTGAAGACATGTTGACTCTAGACTTGGCTGTTACTGAGCTAAACAGAACAGTGGTTAGCGTATGATTTAATTGTCTTGAGCGTAAGTAAAGAAATAATTGCAGATAGTTAATGTAATTATTTGGGAAATTATGCTGTCGTTATTAATTATGTAACTTCTGAAGGCTGGTGTGTTTGTTCATGAAAATCAGAGCATCTTATTTGTATCTAAGTTTGCTATTATCCTCTCTTTCCTTGGCAGCATATGGCAATGAGTCACTACTTACTTGTATTCTGCAGTTATATCAGTGCTTAAAACTGTGGTGGAATAGGCATAGAAACTCTGTAGAGATAGCCAGAGGAAAAAATAATTTTTTTGTTTGTTTGTTTGTTACAGTAATTCAGATGACAACTTACTGAAGAACATAGAACTGTTTGACAAACTTTCTCTCCGATTCAATGGCAGAGTTCTTTTCATTAAGGATGTTATAGGGGATGAAATCTGCTGCTGGTCTTTCTATGGACAGGGTCGGAAACTTGCTGAAGTCTGTTGTACCTCTATAGTGTATGCCACAGAGAAGAAGCAAACCAAGGTACAGGAGTTCTACCCACTTGTTTATTATAGTTTGTAATAAAGCAGTTGAATAATGCATAGTGGAAAGATGTAGATATACCAAATTGCTTGGGGGAAGCAATGTCATTTCTTGGGGAGATTTTGATACTGGCAGTCATGAATATTGACTGGAATTGATGGTCAGTGACCTCCATGTTACTTGGGTGGTTCACTACTTACAGTGCTGCAGCATTAGCTGGTACTTGGTAAAAGATGGCACATACTAGGTAGAATTCAAAGAAGGCTGAAGGACTGCAAATGGTAATTCTGAAAGCGTGGTCTTCTTAGCGCTGATCTGTAAAGTTGATGGAATTTGTGTCCCAAAACCATGTAAATGCCTATAAACTTTAAGTAAGGATTTTAATTTTATTATACCTACTTAAGTTTACTTCACTGCAGTTACTTAGACTTACCAACTTTGTTTCTGTTGTGCTGATGTAGATGTCGTATGTAATTTGACTAAATGGTTGTGTCTGTTATTTCTGGGCAGGTGCTCCAGACAGGTTACCCTGCTTAGATCAGGAAAATGACATCTGCTGTTCTTTGTAGGTTGAATTCCCTGAGGCACGTATTTATGAGGAAACTCTAAACGTCTTACTGTATGAAACGCCGCGAGTTCCTGATAACTCTCTGCTGGAAGCAACCAGCAGGAGCCGAAGCCAGGCCTCTCATAGCGAGGATGATGATGGTTTTGAACTTCGTGACCGAGTGCGCCGAATCCATGTGAAGAGATACAGCACCTATGATGACCGTCAGCTTGGCCACTAGCATGTCAGTTGAGGAGAGAGGGGTTGGTTTCAAGGCTTGTATCAATATTCTTTGATGGAGATCAGGAAGTAGGGAGGGGTCAGTTGGACTCTGGACTGATTTTCATTTGGCTTCTCGTCTCTCCAGAGAAGCAAATGGGCATTTATGCACACAAAACAACACTAAAGGCCAAGGGCTTTAAGAACTAAGATGTTTGTTTTGCACCATGTGCTTTAAACACAGACTGGCCCCTTTTTCATGCAACATGAGAAATGGATTCCAAAACACTGTGACCATTTGTGGTTGCTCTTTTATATCTAACGATGTGTACATATCTTACTTCCTGTGGGAAGTACTGCTTTTCTGAATGAGATGGAATGATTTGAAAGTATTTTTTTCAGTTACTTGTCCTTTTAGGGTTTGGTGTAATGGAACTTCTGGTTCTTAAATCAAAATACTGAAGAGGGGGTGGAAAGAACTCAAACATGACTACTTCTATGAAACACTACAGCTGATAACCCCTGGAGGAAACAGTTAGTTATCCACTAGTAAGATGCACTGCAATGTGATTTCTTCCACCTATTTTTTCCTTATACGCATACAGCAATTTGTGTTCCAGTTTAGTTGTATTTAAAACTCATTAATTCTAAGGCATGCTTTTCTGAGAAGTCAAATCATCAAAAAAATCTCCTCCTGTGAAAAATAAGAAATATCTGAAAATTTAAATACACATAGAATGACATGTCATGGGAACTGGAAAAAATAGATATGGTGAAGGAGTAAAGTTTATCAAATAAGAAAACTTAAAGAATAGACTGTGGTAGGGATGGCATTGTTCAGGGCTTTGATAGTGTGATCCTGTTCATCTAAACAATGGCAACCTGTAGAATTATGTAATTTTACATTAGTTTCTCCCCGTGGCCCAAAAGTGTTATTTGATGTTAAATTTCTCCAGCAACAGGGGAAAAAAACACAGTGGCTGGGGAAGTGCAGACTATACAGTTTTAATGCTAGATAATATAGTGAAGAGTGAGTTTAAATTTTGTGTTCTGAATTACTTCTAGAGCATAGAAGTTGAAGAATAATCATAAAAACATGTTCCAAGGCATGCAGGAGGCCTTGGACAGAGAAAAGAGATAGTAAGCTGAAATATCAGCTTTATTCTGAGTGCTTGATTGGATGCTAATTTCGGAGGACTACTCAGAAGACTGGAGTGCCAGCTGGTTTGCACAGTGGGTCTCTAGAAAAACTTTTAGTATGAAAAGTTGCTGATTTCTTTTTAACTGTTTGATTGTATGTTTCAAATGTAGGTTGCAGATTCAAATTTTACCACTGTTAGAAAAGGTTATTACTTGAAGGTTGCTCATTGACACGTATGGACGTGTGTCAGTGGCTTAGTGTGCTCCACCACTGCTTTTATTTCCTTATATTTTATGTGAAGGTGGAAGCCTCAGATTCCATGATGGTTAGTTGTGAACTCCTTTGACCAGTGCCAAAATTACATGTAAGTTTTAAAGCAAATAAGTGCAAAAGCCAAATTGATGAAGTAAAGTCATAACTAAAATCAAGATAGAAGATTATTAAAAAAAAAAAAGGGGGGGGGGAACGAAACAGTGATTTCCACTCAGTTAGGCTTCTGAAAATCTAACTGTTGAGGCTTTGTAAGAAGACACTAATGGCTGCAAAACGTGGGAGGTTTATTGCCTAACTGGGCCTCTACATGAAAGGCACCTACTTTCCTCACATTCAGGAAGTAAGTTGCCACAGTAATGGACCTGCCTTTTTCTGAAAGGCTTCTTTAAAACTCTAACAACTTCTTTTCTTTCTATATTGCTTTCTTCTAGTTGTTTCTCAGCTGTTTTTTTCTCTTGTGAGGAAAAATACATTTGCTGAGATTAGTTTTGACTAAAACTTTTGTTTTTAATTGTGATGAAGTGTGATGTGGATTTTATTTCTTTCTTCTCTTTTTCAGTTGATTTTTCTTCACTGATAATATTTAAATTAAATCATGGTGGGTGCTTTGAAGCCACCAGTGAAGACTGTAGTGAAATGTTCTTTTTGCTTTACTTGATAGTTTGAGTTTAGTCTCGTACTTTTTTGTTTTTCCATTGTGCAACAAATAAGTCTGCCATTTAAAAATTAATAAGTATGGCATTCGTATTTCTTGGCAAATGAGTTTTTTTCATGTTACTACTATCACAGTGGATGTTAGCAGATTAAGTAAGTGACGTGGGTAGCCTTGCACAACTGTTCAGAGAAGTTATAAGCAGAAGAATGACAAAATGTGAAAGAGAGCGTCAGATCAGCCTGCTGGTTCAGATACTTCAATTGATGGTTCACATCTGTGCTCACAGTATTCCTTAAGGCGATTGATTCATGTTGTGGAGTTCTTACGATGCTGTAGGGGGGGGAAAAAAAGCTTCTGCATTGATTTAGCTAGTTTTCTTTTCCTTGTATCCCATAGCAACAACTAGTTTTGTCTATTTAAAAGACAGTTTTAAAACCACGGTCTTGGTGTTTATCCTGATAAGGTTTTCAGGATGTGGCTGAGAAGATCCTAGGTGAATAGCTGTTGGATTTCACTAACAGTCCAACAGTTCCCTCCACTGGTGGACAGATCCTGAATTGGAAGACATCAGGAAATTCACTGTTAGGTGTGTTCTGGGATGTCTGCACACCACTAAATGGTATAGTACTATTAGAGATTCCCATCCTAGGTATAATGGAAAAAAAAGCAGCACTGAAAAGGGTGATGCAACATTCACTTGTTTGCAGTAAGCTGACCCCTTCTAGAGCTGTGCTTCCTAAGAATCTTCTCTGCTGGCTTTAAGCATCACATTATCATCCCTGCTAAGATGATACAGATTTCTAAGTATATGCATTTGCGTCTGCTAATTAAGAGCAATGGCTTCCTACACAGAATATCAGCATTGGATGTGTTTACTGATGTGACTGAATTTAAAGTTGCCATTAGGAGGAGGTACCTCTTAGCCTCATTTGTAACCTTACTTTCTTCACTTCTGAATTTAAGTGAATTTTTGTGCATTCAAACATTGTTAGCAGGCTGAAAGAATGAATGGAAAACATTAACTGACATTTATACACAAGCAATGTAATAAAGTCTTACATGATTCTCTAATGGGGTCCTAACATAATGAAAAACAACCTCAGCTTTTCTGCAGAGAAGGAGCCTTGGTGCCTTGAGTGAATGTCTTATGTTAAACAGTTCTTCAATATTGGTGTTAATTAGGCAGTAATGCCAAAACAGAGAGCTCTGCAGGGCAGCAGCCTCCAACTGCTTGATAAATGCCAAGGCAAAATGAAATGCTTAACCTTCACTTTGACATTTAGTTTTTGGAACAGGAAACATCTATCCTACTGTAACATTCCAGTGACTTCACATCTCTTACAATTTTTAGTTAAAAATTAAAAAAAAAAAAAAAAAGCTGACCCAAGCTTGGAGGGCATTGAGAAGACTGATAGTGTGGTATTTTGCTGCCTTCAGCCTGAAGCAGGCAATGCTTTTATTTTTTGTATTTTAAATTTTCAGACATAATTCACTTTTAGAAATGCTGGTGAAGTATAATTTAGATTATAACCTGTGACAATCCTTGATGTTAGACCTTTATGGCCATATTCACATTGTGCATTCTGTTAGGACGACTGAAGTCCTGTTAAGAGATGAGAGAACATGACCTCTGTTTCCAGCTTTGCCACTAACTTGGTGACACAGACAGCAAGTCAATTTTTCTGCATGTGAATTTTTCCTCATCTGTAATAAAATGGGGGTAAGACTCTCCCCTACTTCAGAGGGATGTTGAAGCTTAGTTTGTTTCATAACAATACAGCACTTTGGATTTCTACATTTTGTATCTGGAGGATAGTAAATGTGATTGCTCTTGAAACTGACGTTCTGCAATCAAGCTGTTTTCTTATGGCATCAGGCTTAGTTTTCTTTTTGTCTAACTTTTAAAGGTCAGTCTTACGAATAAAGTAATGAATGCAGTTAACCATATTAACTACTGAATAAGGTGTTTTCTCTGTTATCAACGACGACATGGAAATGGAATGCAGGTTTTTAATAAAGCATTATTTTACATTGCCGTTGATTTTTCTCCAGCATCAGAATTTTTTGCCATGTGGGTTCCCAGGATGCAGAGATAGTGGCTCAGGGTCTGTTTGCTGTACGATGTGTCCCTGCCTGTCACATGAGCCCTGCAGGCTCGTTTTGTAGGAGGCATCAGCGTGCTGAGAGCGTGCTGCAGGCAGCTGGTTCTTTCTCTGGGATTTTCCTTTAGTTGTGGCAATGTTGAGTTTTGTGTTCTTGACAATAACTTCCTAAAAAGAATCACACAGCATCCTGATCTGACATTTAAGGCCGCGTGCAACCTCTACCACAGAAGTAACTCAGCTCCTGTTATGGAGGTCCCGAACCTGTCCAGGCTGCAATCGAGGAGCAGGGGAGCTCTGGGCAGACGGCATCTGCTGTCTGTCCTGTTGGGCTTCCTCACCTCGTGAGCCAAGATCCGTGGTTGGAGCAGTGACGGTCCTTGCTGCCCTGGATTCGCCACGTCTGTAGTGTAGCGGTGTCTGCTGTGGGGGTGGACTGAGGAATTAATTGCCAAAAAAAAACGACATTTCCATGTGGTTTTGCAAAGTTCTGTCCTTTTGCTAAGATTAAACATGAGAAACACGGACCGAGCGTGCCGTTTGCTCTTTTACAGACAATAAAGGAGTACAAGGAAACGATGCCTAGCAAAAGGCGGCTTAAACGCGCGTAACTAACCTGCTGCTCCAGCCCCTTCCCTTCTCGGCGCGCTGCCGCAGGCTCCCACGAGTACCGCGATCCCGGGGCTCCCCGCCGGGCGGTTTCACGGCGGGCTGCCGATGGAGCAGCGCGGCCCCGGGCCCCCAGAGCTCCGTCAGCGCGGCGCCCCGCTCGGCCCGCCCGTCTGTCGGCGCAGCCGCCGCGAAGCGGAGCGGTCGCCGCGGGCTCCCCGGCGGCGGCGGCAGGCAGGTGCGGTTCCGCCCCGACTCCCGGCGTCGCCGCCCGCGGGCGGGCCGAGCCGCCTGACGTCAGCGGGAGCCGCGGAAGATGGCCGCGGAGCCGCGCGGTGCGCAGCAGCCCCTCCGCGCCGGGCCGGGCGGCGCCGCGCCTTCGCCCCGCGGCCGCTCCCGCAGCGGAGCCGGACGGCGGCTCTGAGCGCGGGGCTCGGCGCGGCGGGCGGCCCCGCTCCCCGCTCCGCCATGAGCTGCTCGGCGGACGCCGCGAAGGAGAAGCTGCTGTGGAACGTGAAGAAGGAGGTGAGCGCGGGCTGAGCCTCCCCGCGGGAGCCGCTGCTGCGCGGGGCCGCGTCGCGGCGGTTCCCTGTGGGGCGGCTGCGGTCCGGTAGCGGCGCCCGGAGCGATCCGCGTGACGAAGGCGTTTAATCTCTCTGGCGGCAGGGCCGACTGCCCACCCAGAGCAAACGAAACGAAGCTGCGGGCGGATCGCGTTAAAATCTGATTCCCCTTCGGGAGGGATTGAAGTGCGGGGTTCGTCCCACTGTTTGACTCCCGGTGCCGCTGGCGGGCGGAGCGGACGCGTCCCGCGGCGATGCATCGGCGCTCCGGGGAGGAGCGGAGGCGCGGCGCTGCCCCGGGATGGCGGCTGTGCGCCCGCGGCTCGCTTGGCGCTGCCCCGCCGAGCTGAGCTCCGTCCCTCGGGCCGCTGCCCCCGAGCAGCGCTGGTAGCGTTGGTGGTAACAGCCGGGGCTGCGCCGGGCTTTCGTGCGGCGTTCCGGCCGCCGCAGCTGTGCGCGGCTGTTCTTACATAAGAGCGGGGCGAGGGTGTCATTAATGCTTGTCCCTCACAGCAGGACGAAGTTTTTCTGACAGCTTCTCCTACCCGCGCACAGCTGGGGAGGTGGGACGCGGTGGGGCGGTGCGGGTCGGGTGTGCTGCTTCGGTACGGAACTGCGCCTCTGGGACGCAGCGGGACGGGCGTCGGGTGCGCTTCTCTCGTGGGTGAATGTTTACGTAGATAAATAAGTCTGAGATGCGTTTTGTCACTGCGGTGCTGTCCTGATGGGTGAAGGGGATTTTCGTGGTACCGGCCGGCTTGAGCAGCGCGGTGCGTGCGGTTCCGGCTGTGCTGCACTGGGGGGAGGAACCCAGCCGTTCTGCGCTGGGTGAAGGAAACGGCATCGGGAGGTCTGAGGGGGAGGCTCTTTTCAGGCGGTGTGTCAACGCAGGCAGGAATTGAACACGAAGCCCTGCCATCCCAGCCGACAGACTTCTGGAGAGGTTTTCAACCTCCTTTTTTCTGCATGGTTTCTCACACAGATGTTTTTTACCTGCCTCGCTTCTGTTTTGTTTGAAAGTTGAACTGTTCCACGTACATTCTGAAAGCTGTCGTTCCAATTTTAGTCCTTTAAAGCCGGGCTGCTCGCCCTGTTGCATTACTTCCACGTTAGCTCAGTGTCTAATGGAGTTCAGAGTAATGTTATTTTTTTTCTGTATGGTGTTTACACCAATCCTATTAAGATTCAGTGAGTTTGCAAAATGTAAGAGGGGAGTCTCTGAAGTCACTTGGTGCAAAGTGGTTTTTTTTATTATTTTTTATTCTTTTTCCCCACAGCAAAAACTGCTGTATTGTTCCTTTGGGAAAACTTGATGCTTTTTGCTTTTCTCAAATGGACTTTTCATTTCCCACTGGTAAAGAATGTATTTTGTTGACTCTGATAGAAAGGAGGACATGTAATGTGTTTTGAAAATTACACTCTGCTGGGATTCGTGCTGAGGCTGCTTATAAGTTCACATTTTAAACATCTCTCTCTGCAGGATAATCTGTTGTGATGAGTAGGCTCATAAAACAAGATTTCTCTAGCCATTTCCTTCTACCTTTTCCAGTGAAGCTTTTTGCCGTTTATGGATGTAAATACTCTTTCTACCTGTGAAACAAACAGAGTAACAATTACCTTAGAAGTTCCACCATAAATAAAAAAAAATCAGAGCACTTTAGAAATGCAATTGCTTGTCTTACAACTCAAATGCAATGACTTCTAAACAGAGATTGTTTAACTGCTTTCATTTACACCACCCAGTTCTTCCAGATAACAAACGTCAGTGCAGCAGAAGCATCAATAAATGAGTGGTAGTAGCAGGAGCTGAAGAAGGCAGGGATGTAGGGATGTGGGAGATGAGGTTTTCTTCCTTGAGGAAAAAATGGGATGGGTGTGAACTGTGTTTCTGGTTATTCCAGTGCTTTGTGGGCACTGTTCTTTGCCTCTGACACTGTACTGTCCCTGTGGCGCATCTCCAGCATCCCATCATGATGCACGGTGCGAAAAAGTAAAAATTAACAAAAATGATAACAATATAACAAAAACTGAAATAAACCCAAACATTTCTCAGCTTAATAAGTTGTATGTTGTGACCTAAGTTTGGTGTTTGCCTCTGAAAGCACTGGCCAAAACCCATTATAATGTGCAGTGTCTGTTGAAGGAGCTTGCACTGCCTTAGTGTGTGGGCAGAGCTACCATCAGGATATGCTTGCTCCTCAGATGCCAGGATTTTTGCTTGGATATCTTTTCTATGCTTAAAGTTGGTAAACTTGGTGCACGTGAACAGAATGTCTTTGGAGACTGTCGCTGTGGTCTGTTAAAATGAAGCTTTCTGCAGTTCTCTTGCTTTGTGGCCGCTTGCGGTTCATGAACGGAGGGACTGAAATGAAAACAGCAAGTGCATCAACTTCTCTGTGATTGTGCCACCTGGAGGAGCAGAAGGCCGACTGATTGCATAGGCAGTGTACTGACCTTACAGAGGAGACATGGGGTGGAAGAAGCCCGTGGCAGCTGGGTGAGCCTCTGTCCCTTGGAGCCACCTGAGGGGTTTTCTCTCCAGGTTCTGTTCTGTCCATGCTGCTGCCTCCTCCGTGCAGCAAATCCAGCACACAGCAGAACAAAAGTTCTAACAGATTTCTCAGCTGTGCAGGTGGATGAGTGAAGGGAGGAGGGGATGCTTGTGTTTATTTTAATGAGAATAGGTTGCACTTGATAAGGTGGATGCCTTTGGAGGCTCAGAACGCTTCCTTGACAAGGGCCTTCCCAGAACAGGCATTAGAGCCGCAACAGCATAGTTCTCTACAAAGAAAATGAGCGGAGTTTGAGGGGAGGGCAGAGAGCTTGTGTTCCATTCTGTGATTCTGTGTTCCACTTAATCAGAAAAAATTTGACTGAACTCCTTGCCTAGGGCATCCCTGAATTGCGTGGCACTGAGCAATGACGTGCAACTGAAGAACAGTGCATTCCAGCATTTGAATCTTCTGGCAGTGCCCTCAAAGTCTGTTTTAATAACATGCAGTAACTCTCCTGAAAATTTGCAAAGGTTTGCTCTGTATTTGCTGGCAGCTGTGAACAGATGTTAATTGTTCAGTTGGTCTGTACTGCTTAGTTGGGGGTCCTAAATTTAAGACCCAACAATGGCCTGACCACGTGGCACTGCTGCACAAAAGTGGTGTTGATTTATTGCATTCGTAACCTTGTTCTTTCTAATTGTGGCTACAGTTGTTTGGGTTTTTTTTTCCTCTCTTCCTGAGTCCACACAGTGGGGGCTACATCAGCTACTGAGCTAATAAACACTAACGTGCAGGGGATGCCTGGGAAGTGTGTGACAGCAGGAGCTGCCTTCTACTCCTGAGCTCTAACTCCTATTAAACTACTCGTCTTCCTCCCTGCAGTCAGAGGCAGGATTCCAGTTACTGCTCTCTGGGGAGCTGGAACTGAAATCTTAGGTGCAGTCTTAAGGAATTAATGGTGCCTAAATTCAAGTCTATAAACATCAGTCACACATGCATGACTTATTGTGGAGCTGCTCTCCGGTGCTCCCTCTTCTAACCACCTTAATGCTGGTGGCTCTTGCGTACTTTTCCCCTGCAGCAAATCGAGCCATTCATTTAGTAGCTTAAATATGTTGGGCTCTGAAGAGGATGTCAGGTGCTGAAGTGTCCATACGGCGAGGGTCAGGGCTGGGGCTCTGTGCAGCTGCTCGCAGGTCGGGGGGGGGAGGGTGGTGGGTGGGTATGGGCCTCAGGCTGTCAGTTGGAAGGAGGTAGGTGTGATGGCTCCACAGATGGTCTCACTGGAGGAATAATTACTCCAAACTGAAGAGAACATCTTTGTAGGCAGCTGCCACCTCAAATACGCAGCCCAGATGCTGCCCAGCAATGCGTCTGCAGCTCCTCTGGGCTCGGGCACTAAGAGGGAAGAATTGCAACCTTTGTACCTATCAGCACTGCAAAGGAGCGGTAACCCAGCTAGCTTTAAACTGGTTATCTCAGGTACCAGGTGCTGCTTGATGAGAGCTCAGCACAGACCTGCTCATAAGCAGGAGTTGAGGTCTCCCAGACATGAGAATGCAGCCCCAGTGGCATTTGTGGTGGCCATTGCTGTGCCACTTGCACTGACAGACAGAGCTGATACACAGGCAGTATGCTGAGTCTGCTGATAGAGTTGCCAATGGGGACACATGGTTACCTGCTTGATAATTCAGTATTTGATGGACCCCGGGGCTTGCTTAGGATGCATGACTTTGCAGCTCAGGAGTTCCTAGTGTTTAAAAAAGAGCAGAATGCCCTGTGTGGGGGAAAAAAACATGTAGGAATACATGATCTCGATTTAGTGAGCAGAAGTAATACACACAGAAAGGCAGGGATGCGCCATACAAAAAGCTTGCTAGCTGACTGCTGCTGAGGAAGTTCTCCAGGGGGAACTCTGAGTGCTCTGAAATAACTCAGCCTTTTAGAGGGGCCTGCTGCAGGTAGACTTGTCTGTGTTCTCCCTGTGGTTTACCCCAGCCTATAAAAAGGTGTTTCATTTCGTTCTTCCTTTCCCTTCTTGCATCCTTTTACCGTTTCCTCTAAGCAGAGAGTAACTTTCACGAGCGATTCATCTTCTAGCGATGGGGAAATGCCAAGCAAAGGTTGAAACGAGCTGAAACTCCCAAGTGCTGTCCTTGTTTGTGTTGGGATTTTAAAATCACTTCTTTTTACTTCTTTCTTGTAGGTAAAGCAGATCATGGAAGAAGCAGTCACCAGGAAATTTGTACATGAAGACAGCAGTCATATCATCGCCTTATGTGGTAAATGGCACGCAAAAAAATTAATGCTGCATACCTTACTTTGTAGGGATTTATTTATTCTGCTGTAAGAGGAAAATACTGGGGTTTCAGTATCAGAAAAACATGGAATGCAGGCTCGTGCTACCATTTC